AGTCCTTTGACGTTGAGGGAAATGAAGCGGATTTGGAGGTTCCGCGGTGCCATGCTGGTGCGTGGGGGTGGTCACGATCCGGCAGTGGTGCGAGGGGCGCCGGTTAGCTAGGCATCCGTTCGGGGTGCGTTGGGCAGTCGAGTCTGAGTGGGGTCGGCAGGGGTGGTGGAGGGTGGTAGCAGGGGTGGGTTAGTAGGGTCCCGCCCGCGCGGGTCTTTCGGTTCGCCGCTGACGCCCTGCGGGGGCGGTGTGTGAGGGACTGGGCTTATCAAACTGGCCAGTCGAGGTTAGGCGGGGGCCTCGGTTGTCCGTCCCAAGGTCCGCGCGGCAGTCCTCGGGAGTATCGAGGCCGGTGGGAAGGGGTGTACACAAGTGGTGGCCGGTTCCGCCCGCGGCCTGCCCATGGTCCTGTTGCTGTGGCTGAGCCTGGGGTTGGATGGGGGGGATGGGTGGTGTATGAGGGCTTTTGGGTGTGTGTCCCGTCGTGTGGCGGGCGTGTGCATTCTCTTCGTGAGGCGGGTGTATCAAAAATTCTGGGTGGTGTACCCGCCGGATATCGCTATCCCTGTGTGTGTGTGTGTCAGGTGTCCCTTTGTGTGTGGGTCCTGCGTGCGCGTATATCCCTATTTTGGGGTGCGTATGCATGCCATAGGGACGAGTTCTGTCCTATTAAAGCTCTGATTTGCCAGTAGGGTGTGTCCGGAAGGGGCAGTGGAGGGGTGACCTCATGTCGTGGGTGGTGGTGAGATGGCCTGGAGTGTGGGTTGTCTATCGCGGCCTTATCGGCTCTCAAGAGGGCCTGGTTGTGCCTCCGCGGTCTGAGGTTCAGAGTGTGTGTCGTGGTCTGTGGGAGCGGGTAACAGCCGGTTCCTGTGTAAAACATGCATACATTTACAATGCAACATTATAACGTTATAACATTTGAACAAATTGTTAATGCCTTGAGCAGAGGTATCAAAAAAAAAAAGGAAGGGGGGGTCAGAGGGAGCAGTGGTCTGAGCTGGTGCTCTCTATCACATGTAAGAATTGTCCCGTAGGTCCACGGTTTATCCAAAGAGCGGTCGTGTGCGTCTATACCTAGTCTGCGGTTCGGCGTCCGGTCAACTGGTTAGGGGTCGGTCTGCCTTTGATCAGGGTGTGTGTGAGGCCTGGGAGCAGGTGGGGCAGTGTTGTGTGTGGTTGCTGCCGGCTAGTCGTGCTTGATGTGGGCATGCGCTGTGCATGTGATGGTGGTGCTTGTCCCTTGTCCGTGAGTCATGTGTGTGGAGCGTCCCTGGCTCCTTGCCCCGTCGGGCATGTATAGGGCTAGTGGGGCCATGGTATCGGTCATGTGCCTGTTGTCGGGAGGTCGGGGTTGGGGGGGTCAGCGGTTGCTGCCGGTGTATGGTCTCCGTCAGTCAGAGTGCGGGGTGCAGGTCATGCCGGAGGGGCGGGTTTGTCGGTCCCCCGTCGCCCCGTCATTCCCGTCACCCCCCCCTCCCCCCCGGAACTCCCCCCCCATCCCAACTTCTGGGTCCCTGCCCGCCCCGTTGGAGGTTGTCTGTGGGCGATAAGCGCTTCACAGGATGTTTAGGGGATCGTGTGTATGCTGCCCCCTTTAAACCATACTTGCGGTGTGCGGCCCAATGTCCAAGGCATAGAGTCTCATGGTGATGGGGTCCTGTGGTGGTAGGTGCCCGGGAGGGGGGTGCCGGAGAGGAGAGTCTTGTCAGGCGGGGAGGCAATTTCGCCCGTCAGTTGATGCCTTCTCCCGTTCATGTCAATCGGCGTGTCGGGGGGATTGTCTCTGTGCATGTTCCTCGGTGCTGGAAACTTTGGTGTAGCCTGTGATGGTGTGGCCTTGAGGATATGTTCCTGTGGTGCCGCTGGGAGTCCGGGCGATGTCGGGTGTGCTCTGGGGCTGGAGCCGGGGGTAGGCTCGGCGTTGGGGTGTTGTCGCCGAGCTCGCCGGGGCCTGTCCATGCTGGTGCGTCTTCCGCCCTTTGGTTGTGGTCAGGGTCGTTCTGTGCTGTCTGAGTGGTCTAAGTGGTGCTGGTTTCCCCGGATCCGGAGTGAGCGCCTTCTGTGCAGCGATGCAACTGTATAATATGTCTGTGCTTGTCGCTGGCTGTTGGTGGGTCCAGCGGGGCATAGGGGAGCCGGTGAGACAAGGCAAGCTGGGGTGTGAATGGGGTGTAGGGGACGCGGGGTCGGATAGATGTGTCAACGCCACCGTCCCCCCAACCCTCAGGTTCTCCTAACGTGTTGCGCCTGGATTCTGCAGTGCCGTGTTGCGATGGGGACGGTCACCGGTCCTGGCGGGCGGGTTATTGCTCGGTGGTTGTCGTGCTGAGGATTCGGCGTTGGAGTGAGGTGTTTCTGGGATTTGCGGTAAGTTCAGCTGGGTCAGAAGCGCAGGGATTTCTTCCGGTCTTGTGAGGGAGTGGAACCTGCCATCTTTGCGTATAATTATTTTGAAAGGGTGACCCCACACGTAGCGGAGGCCGTGGCTGCTTAGGTGTTGTGTGAGTGGGCGTAGTTCTCTTCGGCGTTTCAAGGTGGTGGGAGCCAGGTCTTGATATAGTTGTACTGGCGCTCCCTCTACCTCGATGGGGGTATCCCTGGCTGCGCGCATTATGCGCTCCTTGATGTGATAGAAGTGGAGGCGCACCACTATGTCCCTGGGTACGGCAGCGTTGGTGCTTGGGGCTCTGAGGGCTCGGTGTGCCCAGTCCATCAGTAGGTCAGCTGTTGTAGCCTCCGGTAGGAGGTGTTGAAATGCCTCCGTGAGGGTGTCATTGAGTAGGTTGGGCGACACCGATTCAGGGACGCCCCTGACCCTGATATTGTTCCTACGTGTTCTATTATTTAGGTCTTCGTTGGTGTCTTCGAGGGAGCGTAATTGATCTCTCAGGTGCAGTATTTCACTGCCATGGGCCTGCACGATCTCCTCTGTGTCCGCCATTTTGGCCTCTGCGGCCTGTGCACGGGCTGACAGGTCTGCCATACCTTCTAGTATGGGGCAAAGACGTTTGTCCAGTTCTTCGGCCACAGATTGTTTGAAGTCAGCCAGGAAGCCCTGCATGTCCCTCCTCGTCAGCGGTGCCTCCGTCCTCTCCGAGGGTGCCTGGCTGCTCATTTCAGAGTCTGAGTCCGACGGGAGGGGCTCCAAAGATGGCGCCCGCTGTTGTTCAGGCTTCTGCCTGAAGATCGGTGCAACGGAGGAGTTGCGGGCTTTCTTCCCTCCGCCCATGGGGAGGGTGAGTGTGGGTATAGGGGGGGGGGTACGTGGGGTGTTTTCGGGGCTCAGGTGCTGCTGATAGCGGTGGTTTCAGGCTAGGCCGCGGCGGAGCTCAGAGTTTATGCGGCCATTCACTCGCGGGGTTAGGCTCCGCCTCGCTGTCTCTTATCTTGATACGGAATGTGCCCAAGTATTGATCTCTGGGCCGCTGCCCTTCTAATGGGTACCCTACTATGTCTTAGCGGTAGGTGGAGTTTTGTGTATGCGAAATGTTTCTCTTCTGCCATAGTAATGGATAAAGGGGTGGTAGGTAGTAAACAGGGGAAACGGAAAACTAAGAACATAAGTATATACAATAACTCTCGTCCTTGAGAGTGTACGTTGGAGTACAATGTGGAGCCCTCGTGCTCCACGTTTGTAATTCCTGTGGGGGGTCGTGCAAAACAATACCGCACCCGAGCCAGATTTGTCATATGTCCACTTTGTTAACTGCATCTTCTAGTGGGCCTGGGAGCCAGAACAACAACTCCATTGTCATCCGCTGTAGATCGGGAAGACATTTTTGCTAAGGGGTCTAAATTGAGTGGGTCGCAGCCTCAGGAACTGTAATATGTTTTTTCTTTTTTTTTTCTTTAACCTTTTAGATGAGTTTAGTGACCTCTTATTAGTTTAAACAACTTTAACTCTAGCATAACGGGATCGTTTGAGTCCACCCCCAACCTATGCAGGACGTACCGACTACGTATGCTGTATGTGCACTGTTGGTATGTGGGTATGCCTTTAAGCGGTATTGATGTACAGTGGGGACCAAGCTAGTACAATGCAACCTTCCGGGGCAATGTTAACCTATATGGTATCATTCCAATTGGGGTACCATCCCATACTCTACCTCAGCAGCAATCCACCCCTGCTGGGAATATCACATTGTGTGCCAAACGCATTATCCTCCCAGCAAAACTAGCAGGAAAGCCAATGCGTCTAGCCCCAAATATTCCCCACAAGCATTACAATAACATTTTACATGGCATAGGTCAGTTCTTATTTCCTTGGCGACTCGCGTCAGCACCGACATGGGTCTATGCGATTAGCATGGCAATAAACCAGGTAGGGCTCAATGGTTTGCGGGGAGTTAGGGAGCCAGTCATTATTGTCGGCCCATTATTATATAATTTTTTTTTATTTTTTTTTTACTTAATGCTAATATTCCTTGCACTGACGCGAGCCCCCATATAAATACCACTATCGAGTGTCGTTGTCTCCCGCTTCCTCCAATACATTAAGGCGAGGGGAAGGCCGGAACGTGGATCTCATAGGTTACAGTTCTAGATAGTGTCCTGAGTAGCTGCCGCACCTTCAGTTAGTCTGTCTTCTCCTCACGACGTAAGGCAGAGTTGCCATTGTGGCTCCAGGCTTAATGTCACTATGTGGGTCGCTTGCGTGGGGATTCTCCCACCATTTTCCATTCGGGGCGGGTCGACATCGGGGAGGTTCTTGCGATCGTTGTCGGATGTCCACTTTCCAGCGTGTTCCAAAGGCCCCATTCTTTCAGCATGGCCATTCCATCTTCCGGGTCCTCTATAGTGCGCAGCTTGTTGTTCCGCCATACCAACAATTTAGTGGGGAAACCCCATCTGTAGGCCTGATCATGGTTTCGCAGAGTCTTAGTTATAGTTGAGAACTCTCTTCGCCTGGCCATAGTTAAAGCTGAGAGGTCGGCATATATGGAGAGAGAGCTATATGGGTCGGGTAGCGTCGGTTTAGCTCTCGCTGCTTTTAAAAGTGCCTCTTTGGCCTTGTAATAATGAAAGCGCACAATAATGTCGTGCGGGACTTCTGCTCCCAACCTAGGTGGCTTAGGTAGACGGTGGGCCCTGTCCACTTCCCACGAGAGTGTAGGGTCGGGGACCAACGCAGCACACAATGCTGTTATATAGGCTATAATTTGGTCTGTAGTGGTGGATTCCGCAACCCCCGAAACCTTACATTATTCCGGCGGGAGCGATCCTCCATGTCCGCCATCTTGTGCCACAGTTTGGTGTTTTCATCTTCCAATTTCTTTAGTTTGTCTGCCATTTCGTTGTGCGCTGAGCACAGGTCCTCCGTCCTCCGTTCCACTTGATCAGTGCGGTCACCCAGATCTTCCAGCTCCTGGTGTATGCCAGATATAGCGGTCTTGAAATCTTCCCTTATTGTGGCTCTTAGATCTGAGAGCATCGTTTTTAGGAAGTCCTTTGTAATTTGGCAGTCTTCTGTGGATTGGTGTGGGGATCCCTCATTGAAGACATCAGGCTCTGGGGACTGAGCTCTGCTGGCGGCGCCATCTTGGGCATGTTTCTGCCGCTCTCTTTTATTTGGGCGGACTGCGTCCGTTAGTTTTGTTTGTTTCGAGGGCGACATGGGGTCACTCCTAAACTGCCCCTCTCGGTTTGGGCTCGATTTGTAAGCTTAAGCGTTGCTTTTGTGGCTCGGGTGAAGCGGAGCTCCTACTCCGTGCGTCCGATCGTGCCGGAAGTTGGACACGCCCCCCCCCCCGAAGAATCTATTTCTTAAATCTCTTACCTGGTACCCACTTTATATTTATGGTAGTTGCAAATTGCATTTTACTAAACCTTTGTGGCATAGTATACAACAGGTACATGACTCAGATAGAAGAACGAGGTTAAACCCTATGTCTGAGCACAAAATGCCCTGATGCAGGTAGTTTGTAACTAAGACATGCTAGCAATCAAAGATTAAAACATTTCCCAGTTTATTTCCAGTGTGATACTGACAAAACCTGAACTTTTGTTGTGCTTTGAGGAATGGATTAGTGATTTTTAGAATATTAAAATACTTTTTCATAGTTTGATTACATTTCCCATTCAACAAACTACTAAAAAAAATCACTCCTAAAGTGCGTATTGTTTCCAGTTAACTACCCATACTTATATTAAAGCAGAAGACTGGATGTCCAAAAGATCACAAGAAGGGCATGTTGGGTATTCCAGGGCTAAACCTAACTGCAAATACCCAACAATGCAATTACTAGCACCTCAGGGGTGGGTAGAATTGGATCTCTTCCTTTGATTGGCTTTTGAGCATCATGTGACTTTTTTTAGAGCAGCGCATAAGGGAATTGTAATTCTAACAGCTTTCATTCCCATTGCAGAGTCATGCTGTGCATCCAGATTAGGAGTTCAATAATACAGATAAGCAAAGCAAGGTATGTAAAAATGAGTGTCGCATCCCCTTAACCGTATCTTTATCTATTATCCTATTATAGTAGTTTGAAGTTTAAAATGAATTGTAAAGAAAGTAATGGTATTTAATTTCCCAAAGGCGTTAAAAGACTAATAGCGGGACAGTGTTGGAGATGCCCTTCTGTTGATTGAAGCCCAACAGGAGGGACTTTTTTCTCCCGAATGGCTAACATGAGATGCTGCTGTGAGAAAACCGGGACCCTGAGCTTCTGCTTATTTTAACCTGGGGCCCTGCTAACTTTAACTAGTGATCCTGCTGATCCTATTAACTCCTTTCCTGTTAGTGGATAAACAACTAATTAGAAATGCTAAATTTAGATTTTAGCTGCTAAATAACAATGTATAAAAAGATGCCTTAAAAAGGCACTGTTATTAAACAAAAGTATGGGTAAACATACAAACACAGATACACACTGTTAGGTACAGAATAAAGAAAGGGAGACGAACAAGGAATATACAAGATATTGATATTACATCATTTTTCATCCCCTAGAAACGTCAGGCTCATATTATGTTATTTAAATAAACAAGAAACTTTCTAAACTGTTGCGTCAAGACTATGTACCGACTTAGTTAAATTAATGCACACGTTAAGATGGTGAATCTCAGTTGGCATATGTGCTTCTGGTTAATCTGTCTCGTTTTTTTGTGATGCCATCAATCATACCAATCTAGCAGGCACAACAAGTCAAACAGTATAGTAATGATTAACAAATATCAGGTAGTTCTGCGCAGTTTACACAGTACCGTTTAAATGACAGGGTATGCTATGTGATTGCATGCTGTATGTACTGAGGAATAATATAGTGCATTTAGTGGATCAATGGAAGCAAGATTAAATGTCAGGCATGTTATGCACTATATGTAAAAAAGAAAAAGAATTATGTTAGATCAGGCTACAGTAGGCTATTAAACAAGCTATGAAAGCCATCAGTCCGTCATGGCAACGCAAAGTGAAAACAGACTAAAGATAACCGTGTGGTTGAACTCGTGGGAAGCGACATGGATAGTTCAAGTGGTGTTCCATGTAGGTGTTGAAACTCACTGCCGGAGGCATCTGCGAGCAGGTCCTGTGGACCGATGAATCCACTTTCAGCCGATACCCCTGCAGGGTAGTGAGGTAACTCGTGCTGGAAGTCTCCCCAGGTGTAGTGTGAGGTGCGGGTATTGGGAGGCTGCCCTCCAGCCCCAGGCCATTGGGAAGGCCAGCACCTGCGGGCCACAGACTCGGGGGCTCTTTGAGGCCGGGTCTTCCACTTTATGGGCGCTCTCGAATGCCCGGTCGGGCTTTCAGCGGTGTGGTCGGTGCCATGGAGCTGTTCTCCGTTTAGCCTTCAGCACAGGATGGCTTTTACTGTGTGAATTGGTTGCGGCTCAGTGTGGTGTGCCTGTGGTGGTGTACCTTCCTATTCCGCACCTCCTGTCTCTCTACCTTTTTCTCGGAGGCTGGATGTATCAGCTTGCTACGTTGCTCCAGGCTGTCCCAAAAGCTTTGGAGTATTTTGTCCAGTTGCACATGATAGTGCTCCATCGGGATGTGCTGCTTACCAGCAGGTTGTGGTAGTGTGGGCTCTGTTCGCGTGAGAAACATAGAAACATAGAATGTGACGGCAGATAAGAACCATTCGGCCCATCTAGTCTGCCCAATTTTCTAAATACTTTCATTAGTCCCTAGCCCTATCTTATAGTTAGGATAGCCTTATGTCTATCCCATGCATGCTTAAACTCCTTTACTGTGTTAACCTCTACCACTTCAGCTGGAAGGCTATTCCATGCATCCACTACCCTCTCAGTAAAGTAATACTTCCTGATATTATTTTTAAACCTTTGTCCCTCTAATTTAAGACTATGTCCTCTTGTTGTGGTAGTTTTTCTTCTTTTAAATATAGTCTCCTCCTTTACTGTGTTGATTCCCTTTATATATTTAAATGTTTCTATCATATCCCCCCTGTCTCGTCTTTCCTCCAAGCTATACATGTTAAGATCCTTTAACCTTTCCTGGTAAGTTTTATCCCGCAATCCATGAACCAGTTTAGTAGCCCTTCTCTGAACCTCTCTAAGGTATCAATATCCTTCTGAAGATACGGTCTCCAGTACTGTGTACAATACTCCAAGTGAGGTCTCACCAGTGTTCTGTACAATGGCATGAGCACTTCCCTCTTTCTACTGCTAATACCTCTCCCTATACAACCAAGCATTCTGCTAGCATTTCCTGCTGCTCTATTACATTGTCTGCCTACCTTTAAGTCATCAGAAATAATCACCCCTAAATCCCTTTCCTCATATGTTGAGGTTAGGACTCTATCAAATATTCTGTACTCTGCCCTTGGGTTTTTACGTCCAAGATGCATTATCTTGCACTTATCCACATTAAATGTCAGTTGCCACAATTCTGACCATTTTTCTAGTTTACCTAAATCATTTGCCATTTGGCTTATCCCTCCTGGAACATCAACCCTGTTACATATCTTAGTATCATCAGCAAAAAGACATACCTTACCATCAAGACCTTCTGCAATATCACTAATAAAAATATTAAAGAGAATGGGTCCAAGTACAGATCCCTGAGGTACCCCACTGGTGACAAGTCCAAGCTTCAATATATTCCATTAACTACAACCCTCTGTTGCCTGTCACTCAGCCACTGCCTTACCCATTCAACAATATTGGAATCCAGACTTAAAGATTGCAGTTTATTGATAAGCCTTCTATGTGCAACAGTGTCAAAAGCCTTACTGAAATCTAGGTAAGCAATGTCTACTGCACCACCCTGATCTATAATTTTAGTTACCCAATCAAAAAAATCAATAAGATTAGTTTGGCATGATCTCCCTGAAGTAAACCCATGTTGTCTCTGATCTTGAAATCCATGTGTTTTTAGATGTTCAACAATCCTATCCTTTAACATGGTTTCCATCACTTTCCCCACTACTGAAGTAAGGCTTACTGGCCTATAGTTGCCCCACTCCTCCCTATTACCTTTCTTGTAAATGGGTACAACATTCGCTAACTTCCAATCTTCTGGGACTACTCCTGTTAACAATGATTGGTTAAATAAATCTGTTAATGGTTTTGCTAGTACACCACTAAGCTCTTTTAATAGCTTTGGGTGTATTCCATCAGGTCCCATTGACTTATTTGTCTTTACTTTTGACAGTTGAAATAGAACCTCTTCCTCTGTAAACTCACGTGTAATAAATGACTCATTTATCCTTTTTCTCAACTGAGGTCCCTTTCCTTCATTTTCATCTGTAGATACAGAACAAAAATATTCATTGAGGCAGTCAGCTAGACCTTTATCCTCTTCTACATACCTTCCTTCTTTTGTTTTTAATCTAACTAATCCTTGTTTTACTTTTCTTTTC